CATCCACCATTCATTGAAAGGATGGAGCGGGGTAGGGGTGGGGGGACATTGAAAAGTTAGAAGAGGGGAAGGCCATAACCGCTACCGTACTCCACTGGAACGTATCGCGGGATGGCAAAGGGGTTTAGGGAGGGCAGTATTGGGGGGACAAACGGGGAGACGGGGGTTCGATAGAGAGCTCAAGATGGAGGAACGAAGATACACTCCGGTACCTAGCAACGGTGAACAGCACCCAACTGCATTGTTGGTGCTCAGTCGTAACATGATAATCATCGAAATAGTCTAATCATGCGTGATACAAGCAACTCGTTTCACGGCGGCATCGGGGGCAGCAGCAACGGCCACCTCTCTCTCCGACCCGTGCCAAAACCTTGCTCGCACAGAAAAAGTACCACCCAACGGCAGCAGCCGAAACCCGAAACCGAAAGCCTCGGAAACAGACCACCAACGGTAGAGGAAGCAGCAGCAGCAGCAGCAGCAGAAGCAGCAGCAACAACAGCAGCAGCAGCAGCAGCAACAGCAACAGCCACCAACAACAAACACATGAAATCCCAGCCCCCGGCACAGCGGCCCTCGCGCCCACCACCTCCAGCACAAGAAACGCGCAAAACACGCGCCACGCACCTCCTGCGCGCCCGAAGCGGTGCTGCGAGCGATCCCGTACCCCAGGACCATCGACATAGGGACCGCGACGGCTGCTTCGGGGGACACCCCGCCAGCGACCACAGCGTCGCCTGTCGCCGCCGCCGTCGCGGCCGCCGCCCGAGACGTCTCGCCCAGGGTGTCCACCAAGTCTTTGAAGATGAAGGGTACCTGTTCAACGTGCATAAGATCGACAGGTGAAACGTTGTTGCTGGTGCGCCACTGCACTGCTGTCACGCTGCCAAAAGAGCCGGCAGCTCAACAACGGCGGCATGTGTACAATGAGCAGGGGAACTGCCATGAATGCCGCTGGCACAAAGGTGCGGGGGGTGATGCAAGGGTGCTGCTTCGCCGCTGAGACACACGATTCCCCGGCAACATTGGGGACAGCAGGGAGAAACGGGGCCCCCTTGCCCGCACATATATATGCCGCACGAAGCCAATGGTTCATGAGGTATGCATACATCAAATTGCATTCTCTGCAATGTGGTGCCACTCCCATGCGTCCACCCTCAGACGTAGCAGAGATGAACGCTGATGCGTGCGCGTCACCTGAATGGTGACGAGCTTGGCGCCCAGCAGCAACGCCAGTGATCCCACTACCCGCGCCTTGATGCTCACGTGGTCCGCCTTTGTTGTTGAGAAAGACGACGACAGGGTGAGTACCGAGGGGGGGGG